ACACAATGCTTGCCCCATGATAGGCATTCAGTAAACTATAGCTACTGCTATTATGATCATTTGCAATAGGCATTATTTTTATAGTTAATCATTACTACAAGCATGAATAATCTTACAGCACTTCAGTATGAGACAATCTCTGGATGGGTAGAGCTCGCCTGACATTGGAAGAATTCAGCACTGCTTTGGCAGACCCTGGCTGCCCCCAGTCTAAAAGTATTTAGTCCTACTCAACCAAAGTAATCTGAAAATTGGCTCTCAAACCATATTTGTAATTTTATGTGAAAAGACATAATTCAATATTCAGTAATGGTTAGGTACTTTCAGTGTTCAACCCTGAGGTCCTTGTGTAAAGAGGATTGTTGTCAAAATGGAACAGAAGTTTTGCATGCAAAACAATGGCAGGAGAAACCCCTTAATCAGATTTACACAGAAAAGGAGGAGACTGTGCCATCATGTGAATGCCAACAGGTACATGCACTGAATGTGAAAATCAGTTATTTTTAATGTTCGTGTACATATTAGCATTAATAACTGGACATAGAGTTGTCCTTCCAGACTCTATGTTTCTTTCATAAAGGGAAAAATAATTCAGTGCTTGTCATGTTATGTTTGAACAACACATTTACTTCAAATAAAGACATTAAAACACCTTATAAATTAAATAAGTTCCATGAGATATCCAGTGATCAAGTAAATAATAGGAAAATTAGGGATAAACTATAGGTGAGGAAGAAATATTTTTGTACTAATAATCGCTTTTATAGTAACCATCATGATGGTAGTGATGAATGCTTGATAGGTCAAACCACATGTGTGATGGACTGATCCATGACCTCAGAGTTATGACTATCGGCACTTTTACTGGAAAAAGAAAACTGTAATATCTCTAAGCTGAGTTTGTCATCTTTAAGATAAGTTGGATTTTACCAAATGACCACTTAAGTCTCTTCTAGCATGAAACTCTCAAAACAATTCTATTGCTGATTCAAAGATATCCGTTCAAAGATATAGCCTTCATACATATGGACCCAGAATCCGTCAGGACTGAGGATTGAGAGGAGATATTTCACCCTGTGAAGTTCTATTATAACAGGTCAAATCAACACCCAGGAGTATTGGAGGATTTGGCAGTGAGCCCAGAGATACTGCTTCCATAATCACAACCTATTTTTTCCTGACCCTTCAGGACAGCATAGACCTAGTTTTGACTTCAACAGGAAATCCCAAATTGAGAGCCTGAAGCAGAACTGTACTGTTTTGCAGAAATGGGAAATCAGTTGCAGTGTGCTGACCTATTCCCTCAATGGAGGTGATATAAGTGGCATCACAGAATCAGCTTCCTTTTTTAATGCTCATGTATCTTGACACTTACAGTTTATTACATCACAAATTATCCTCCATCCAGATATTATCTGGAAGATGGTAGAAGGTATTCAATAGTCTACCAGCCTCAGGATTCCAGTTTTTCAAAATTTTAAAGAGACATCCATTCCAAATTTTCTTTGTTTAACCTATGCCAGAAACTGAAGTGCCTCTAAGTATAAATGACAGGATAATAGAACTCTAAGTCTTCTTTGCAGTGAATATTATGCTTTCATTTTGCACAGTAGAGCTCAAAATGTCTCACTTTATGCTGATAGTGAGCACTTTTAGAGTTTTTCATCTTCCTACAGTTAAAACATATGACAAAGTGGCCATTTGCAAAAAGAAATGAAGGGGAAAAGTGAGCATGAAATTCACAGAAATTGAGACAATAATAAATACTAAGTAAGTATACTTCCATCTGCATCTATTTGTAGATAAAATTTCAAATATGCTACACCAAGAGATTCACATTGACAGATTACTTTTTGTTTAAAACTAGATGCTCTGGGAAAAAGACATAATATTCATGGTAAAGACAGATTGGAAATACAATTAATCATCATAAATCAATGTAAATCAAATATATATGTATGTATAACATTTAATAACATAAATGGCTCTGTAAAATATGTAAGTAAAGTAACTTAAATATTAAAAACTATGTTTTCATTTCAAAGTAATTTCTATATCCATTTAGGTCTGGACACAGAAAGCAAATCATTATGTGTATAGCAAAATAAAAATAAAGGAAATGCCCTTTCAGAATATGAACTTTAATCATTAAATGAGTGCAATTTTGTATTATAATAAAGGTAAAATAAAAAATTCATATAAATGTACCTCCTATTAAAAAATGAAGAGAAATCAAAATGAAACTAATTCTTTTAGAAAAAACTGATTAAACAAAATGATAATTTTTTTTTTTTTACCGTAAGTGTACTTTCTACTGGTAAACGTAATGTTAGAGACACAAAAATGAAAACAATAACCAATATGTACCAAATATTTTGGGAAATCATTTTAGAATTGTTTAAGTCAGACTAAATTTTTAACTCCTGATAAAAAATAAGTAGTGGCATCTTTGACATAATCAGCCTAGTTTGTCAAATAAATTATTAAACATAATTAACAAGTGAGAGATCTTAAAAACATTATTTTACATTTTAAAATGAATCTAAATATATATAACTAAATAACATGGCTTCCCTGTGAGATGAGGGATTTCAGTCTTAAGATTAAGAAACCCAGATCAACTAGGATAAAAGCTAATGAATCAGTACAGAATTGAAAACTTGATTCAAAGTTTCTTTTAAGAAATGTATCACATAACATCAAAAAGATATACATGATAATTCTTTATATTTTTTAATTGTTTCTATGTCAGGCTAAGATGCTAAATCAACCTAAAGATAGGATACTTTGTAAGTGGTTATGTTATACTAAGAGATATGAAAGCAAAAGCTTAATTTTCACGTGAAGATCATTTATCATAGCTCAGTTTTGATTTGCAACATTTAATTCCCATTCATTTAGTATAAGATATTTTGTATTGCATTTTGATATTTTTTAAGCATCACAAATAGCCTTAGTAGTAGAAAGAGATTAGAGTTATTTAATACCTGGCTTTATCATGATCTAGAAGTGCTTTGGGATTCGTTTTCCTGCTTTATTAACATTTATGGAATTCTTTGCACTAAAATGTCAGCCCCATAGTTTCATGAATCATTGCAAAAACATCAGGGAGTATCATTTATAATGTACAGCAATCCATTTTGATACATGAAAGTAGACCTGGTTGCAGTATGCCATTTTTGGATTCGATTTTCATGTAATTTGAGGTAAGTGCTAAATTATGATCTTGCCTGATACTTACTAGTGAGCCAGTTGTGGCATTAAAGTTGATATGTATCAAAATGAAAGAATAGAAAAGAAAGGCATTAGAAATACTTTGATTTAATAAACAGCTTATAAGTAAAAATTTCTGTTTTAGTATGCTAATTTTAATACCTGGACTTAATACCTGAACAAAGTGTATTTTCACTTTTATTTCGTTAGTAACTCTTTCTTCAATTATCTTTCCCTGTATGATCAAACATTTCAAGTTCTTTTTTAATGAAAATGTACATTATATAAATATTATTTGAAAGTTTTAGGAGATAAAATATAATTCAAAATTCAGGAAAACTGTGAACTCCTATGCCAAGTATCTAAAAACTAAAATTATTATAAGTTTGCCTTAATAATTATTTTATAAATGTATAGATTTAGTATATAATTATAACTGCAACAGTTTTCTATTATAAATAAAAACTTTGGTAATACTTCTTAACCTAATGCAAACCGTCATGCATTTTTAAATTTATTAGAAGTAGATTAAATATTATCTTTTATAATTGTAAGATTTCACATAGTACAAATGAGAAAACTTTATATAAAATATTGAACTGTAGTTCAATAAGTATAAAATAATACATTTTTAGCTGAGTAATTTAAAATTGTCTCTATCATAAATCTTCTTTTGTAGGCATATTAAAAAATCTAAATAACATAAGGTAGTCTGTAAATAAAATCGTTAAGAGATATTAATAAAACAATTTTGTAAAACATATTGAGCTTCCCAGAAAAGAAACATTAAACTATTAATGTTTTATTGTGAATAATTAATAAGCTCACATCTGATAAGATTTCCTGCTCTTAATATAATAACTTATATTATGGGATTATTAGTGATATCGGCCCACAGTAGACCAAAAAATGAGGTAGCCAAAGAAAGAAATCTATAAACTCATTTTAGAAAGACCACAATGGGTTTTGTGATATTAAACAATTTTTTTCAAACTATCTTTTCCTCTATAAAATGTTTAAAATAACACTTGTTGACATAAAAAGAATATGTAAACCATTAACAAAATGAGTACAATTAATCCTCCATACAACTTAAGATAAGCTTAAGATAAATAAACTGAAACATTTAATTAAAATGCAAGAGAAGAATATGCTGTTTTTGACATTTCTGAATTTTAAGTATCTTTCTGCCTAAATATAAGCTATTTGGTACTTTATTAGCATCTTTTTTTTACAGTCAAAACACTCTTTGTTTAAGGGTTGAAGTGGTAACCTTTAAATTAGTGTCAATTTAATAACTAAATCCATCAAACTATATGCCTACTAAAATGCTTTTATTTTCCTTTCTGGTTAATCCAAAATGCTTAATCTTAAAATGTTAACTGTCAAAATAATGGACTTTTTTTTCCCTCCATAAGAATAACTTGAATTTCTTACATATTTCCTGTCAATCATTCTATCTAAACTGGGTGTGCATAAATTGTTCCACCACTGTGACTCTGTTAAGTTTGTAAGTTTGGACGGTGTTACTTACCTCTACTGTGAAAAGGAAATAAACTCATATTCTGTACATTTCTATGCTTATAGTCAGAATGTATTTTTAGTGAGAGGAAGATCGATTATACAGCTGAATAATGAACAACTGTAAAGATAACTGTTTGAGAAAACAGAATATTATGGAATACATCAATGTGTTAGGGATACAAAGTAAAATACCACAGAATTTATTATGCAATGGTACACATACTTCTTCCTTAGGTGATTGTTTTGCTACTCAGGAGATTACCTTTTGTGTTCCCATGTTAGTAAAAGCTGCACTTTTCCTTTTTTTTTTTTTTTTAAGTAACAAGTTTAACAGGCAAGAAAGAAGAAAGGAAGAAGAAAACAGCTCCTCCATACAGACACGGAGGGAGGGGGGATTCAAACAAAGAGAAACTCCCCCCAAAGCTGCACTTTTACTAAAAAATATTATTAATTCTTTGTTATATATCCTGGCATCCTGTAATGTATATGCATTGACATAAGCAAACAAGATATTTCATTAATGTAAAGAAGACTTTGGACTGAGAAAAAGCCCATTGACATTGTCAGCCAGTTATTTTGGTGTTGAATTCAAGGTGGCTTGATATTTTTTTTGCTAAACACAAAGCCAACATTTTAGGGTCATAGGACTAGTCTGGGTCTTACAATCCAGAATGATATGGCCTTAACAGTTGTTCTTTTCTATTTTAATTTAAAGCAGTAAACAAGAAACGATTCACTAAATTTTAGAGCTGCATTTTAAACAGTCCAGCCTTTGAATTTCTAATGTTTTTATGAAAGCTTCAATAAAAAGCTGTGGTTTGAAGTAAGAACATATTGTAGTTCTGTAAAACAATTTTCAGTTGTCATAATGAGAACCTATATAATCTAACTGCTTAACCAATAACATTCATTTTTACTATTATATAATCACCTATGTTCTAAGTAAATTCTTATTAAATACAGTTCCAATACAGATATTAGGAAACTTATTTTATGTTATTGTAATACTAGAACAATTTGTAAGTGCTCAAATAATTTTGTCAGGACAATTTTCTTCCATGGGAATTTAAAGATGAATGAAAAAACTTTAATAATAATCCATGAGACAATAGCACACACACACACACACACACACACACATAAAATCTAAAGATCTTATTCAATATTGTATTCCTTTTATAAAATTAAGCTGAAGTTTAATCTTCGGGAGGATTAAAATATTTCACAAATGTAGAATTTGCCAGAGAAGTAAAGTCATAATTTTTAATTTAAAATATCTGGTTTCATTAGTAATGATAACTTGCAACTTTAAATTTACAAGAGAGCCTAAATTGGGTCAGTGTTGGGTCAGTGTTGCATAGAATCTGACTTTGTGATTTTTAAAAAATCAGTAGGAAGCAATGGTTCTCAGATTCTAGCAGGCATCAGAATTGGGCTCATTAAAACTCAGATTAGGGTTCAGAGTTTTTTATTCAGTGGGCCTGTTAGGTGGTCTGAGAACAGGCATTTTTAACAAGTTCCCAGGTGTCACTCAGGCTACTATTAAGAAGGCCCCATTTTAAGAACCACTTTCTGAAGTATAGCATAGTGTGTTCAGTAATTTCTATCATCGTGTTCTCAAAGGACATTTATTGACTCTCAAATCTAATATTAATGAATTTGGGAATTACATGTAAGCACTATCATTTTATAATATCTAAATCATATTTTCTGAAAACTATGGATACAGGAATAATTTGTCCTGGGATAATATAATTATGTGTCATTACAAATGGTGTAATATAACTTAGAATTGGTTATACAGTAACTATTGCTTTGAAGTGAAAAAGTATGTATGTTATCCTTTTCCAAACTGGTGCTTCCTTAGTCTACTCAGTTCTGAAAGACTTTCTATACTTTAAGGGAAAGGAAAAAAGAGAAGGCAAATCCATTTCTAGAAAGGACTTACAATTATATCTGTGACATGTAAGTATTTTCTGGTGAAGGGACAATAGTAAGGGCTTGTAGAAACAACCACTTTCATACAGTTTAATATTTAATATTAACCACATCCTAGTCAGCTCCTTGAAAGGAGGATTCTGCTTTACATTTTTTTGACTTCCCCACAAAGTCTCTAACAGTCTGAATTGTAAGAGGTCTTGTACATCATGGAGGCTTCAAGGGCAAGGTCTGTTCATTATTCCTTGGTAGCCCCAGCAGTTAGAAGAATACCAGGTGCATAGTAGGTATTTAAAAAAATGTTGACAGACCTGAACACAAACTTCATAAATAGTACGTGCATAATGGATATTTAATGATTTATTCTGAAAGACATCCTAGTTCTTTTAAATATACAAGCTGTTTTTTCTCAGCAAGTTCATGCCTTGCTATAAAATGAAAGATGGGTTGGTCTAGGTGTACGTATATTAAGGCAGATAACTTTGCAAGTGTCCAAATGGCCTTAGGCTACTAAGTTTGCCTATGTCTGTGATACAGGAATTTCAATAAAAATGTTTTAACATTTAAAAAAGTTTTGTGTACTTTTTAATAATTTAGATATGACTTTGTATACATAAAATATATATTTAAAATACACATCATGATTGTTACGTGTAATATAAGCTAAAGCTATAATGAGAATAGATTGGTCGGAAACAGATTTTACTCTGTTTATTGCTGTAAGAAGGAGCTTTATAACCCAGTACTAGGACTTCTGAGGCTTACATAGACTTGTGTCTTGCCGCTGAAAATGTTTCTACTAATTTCTACTCCTAAAGTACATTAATTCAGATATTATCTTTGTTTTTTCATCTGCTCTGAGAATTGTACCTCAAAATATGTAAGGGAATTAACTGCATCCATCAGTGGCAACTGCATCATTACAAAGAAAGTTTGGGCATAAAACTCAATGACCAAAAAGTTATGAAGCGGTTCCCTCCTTCTCTCACTGAGGGTAACCCCTACACTCAGGAAGAAAACAATTGCAGAATATAGAATGTGTGTGATGGGGTGAAATTGCAATAGCATCATGAGCCCAAATATCTCAACAAAACTAAACTAATTTTTTTTGACATAGTATGAAAGACCACTAATGACAAAACACTTGAGTAATAGAAGTCACTTAAAGACCCAAGAAAGAAAGAAAGAAAGAAAGGGAGAAAAAGAGGGAAGAGAGAGAGGAAGCGAGGGAGGGAGGGACAAAAAGAAAGGGAAATAGAGAAAAAAAGAATGAAAAAAGAAAAAGTCCTACTGCTTTGCCTCTGTTTTCAATACTGACACCCATGAACACATCTGTCCCTGGGATATGATACAGAGGCCTGGAGGCTGTGACCTCCTTTCTGAATCTATCAGGAGACATAGCCCACACCAACACACCAGCACTCCAGGAGTGTTGCTTCTGCCAAATATCCTTTACCAACTTCAAAGAAAGAACAGGGAAAGAACTGTAATGATGCTTAACACGAAAGACTGCCTTTCTGCTTCCTTCCCTGTCCCCATAAACTGAATGAACTGTCGTTATAAGACAACATACTGCTGAGTTAATGTAACTCAAAAATTTACAGCAGGTTGTATGCCTGGAGGCACATTATGGGGCCACCTGTAGGCATCTAATTCCAGTGAAAATAATAAATAATTGTGGAGCATTCCTCAGAGTCTAGAGAGAGTGGATAAGAATCGTGTTGCTTGTTCACTCCAACATGGATTCTGTTGTGGAGGAGGATTAGAGAACTGAACTCTCTCCAACAAATGAGTAATCCTTCTCCCCACAAAAGAGTCCGCTAAATGCTACACCAGACACCTGGGTGCCAGATCTACACAGCCATTTTTGTGCACTTTTGATAATCCACCTGCAGAAATCACCACGTGGCAACTGCTTAATATAGCACATTGATCCCTTTGAGGACTTCTTTAAACAGTAAAGAAAGCTATTTTGTTTGTCTTTCTGTATCCTGTTTATCTTTTTGAAACTCCTCCTCACATTTTGGCAAAGATAGAGAGTGACAGTAAGAATATCTGTGATATGACTCCAACCACTTATTTTGAAGAAATCAACGTGTGTATTTTAGCAATGCTCAGCAACCCTGACCTTTTTTTTTTTTTGACTAGAAAGAAAAATTCGTTTATTACAGAGCTGCTTTAAAAACATAGCAAAAGGGTTTGTTATCGTGCTTTTGCAACAAAATAGGTGGGTTAGTATTTATCCTGTGACTACTAAGAGCATGTATGTTGTATATTTTAGATCATACTCTAAGATAGTAAAATTTTACATGTGTGTCTATATATATAATATGAGCTTTTATTAAGTTGGTTTAAAAAGATAGTCTAATTTTGTTCAGTTGGATTATAAATTACTTATAAACTTTACTGATTTCCTCATCTTACAGTCACTGCAAATATGGTTTTAAGATCTATGACAGCCTTTCTCCATAACAATCACATGGCTTGGAATTAAGAAAACTAGATTGAAATTATCATTTAAGTAAGCAGTGAAGATTGGATGGTTGGTAGAATTAAGGTTGACATTTCCTTTCTATTTGTACTACACAAAGGGTTAATAAGGTTTCCATAACCTTATTCTTTGAAGGCTTTTCAGCAGAGGCAGAATATTTAAGGATTGCTGCCAAAACAGATTTTAACCCTTTTAATCGTATTGTTAATAACCACATGTTGCATGGTACAGAGCACACTGCACATAAGGCAATATCACGCTGAACACAGTTTGACCTGATACCCAATCAAGGAAAGGTTCCTAGAGACGCTTGCCATTTTGGTTGCTATGGTGAGTTTCATATTTTGTAGAAACCACTGCTAGATGTCTTAAAATAGACCTTTGCCAAGAAAAACATTGGTCCAGTGGCATATGCTGACAGAGCTTACCAAGGTTGCTCAAATTCCCTTCCTTTGTTTTTCCCTCTCCCCACTGGGGCAACTGCTCCAAGCATCAGCCCACTAGTCTGGCAGGCAGAGAATCCAGAAACTTGCTGCTAATTACAATGTTGACAATTCCCAACCTGTTTACTGGCGCCAGCAATCAAACCACATCCTCTCAAGTGAACCAAAAAGCACTTTCTGGCTTTAGCTTCCTGAGGTTCCAAGCTGGCTATATTAATTACTATTAACTTAAAACTGTATGTTGTACAGAAGAAGCTTAATTAGCTGGTATGAGGATTAAAATCTATCCTTTACACATTTTAAAGCATTCTGTTCTTGACCAAATAATGTGAATCCATAAAACATTTTTCTTTGGACAAAATATTTATTATTTTATGTGTGGCTTCTCAGGGCCACTTTTTCCACTGGATTATTTTCATTTGAGCACCAAAATAGATTTTAAAAAGCCAATCTATCTGTCTGCCTGTTTACCTACCTATCTTGGGATTTTATCTACAATCTTTTTAAAAAACTTGAGAAAAAGAATAAACATAGTTATTTACAGTTATTGTTTATAATTAATAAAATACGAAAACCTTTTGATGGAGATTAAATGATCAAAAGGATGTCAACTTTCTGTCTTGATGAATTTAAAACAAAGATAGTTACACCATTTTTTCTAGTGAACCCTCACTGCTGTGACAGAGTGCTGATTTGGCACATAAAGGTGTATCTATCAGTGACAGGCTGCATATACAATGGTGGCCCCATAAACTTGTAATACATATTCTTACTATACCTTTTCTATATTTAGATGTATTTAGATACATAAATACTTACCATTGTGTTACAATGGGCTATATTATTCAGTATAGTAACATGCTGTACAGGTTTCTAGCCTAGGAGGAGTAGACTGCTATACAGCCTAGGTTTGTAGTAGCCTATACCATGTAGGTTTCTGTAAGTACATTTTATGTTGTTTTGACAATGACAAAATTGCCTAAGGATGTGTTTCTCAGAATGTATTCTTGTTGTTAAGCAACGTATGTATAAGGAGTATGCTTCATGATTGATAAGTTGGGTGAACCCACAGTGAAAAATCTCCTTCTCACACCCTGAATGGTTAGCATTACGAGTAACCCAAATGTGTCAGAGGCAGATCACCAGGCAATTTTCATAAAGATATAAAGATCACAACAGAAGTGGACAAGGGTTTTGTAAAACTGAGAATTTTACTTTGATTCTGTTCTAATCCAAGAGCTGATCTGTCCTTCTTTATTCAACAAGGTAGCTTTGAACATTTAAAAAGTGAAGTAAAAGTAAATATAATTTTAAATTGTATCTTAAAATGTGATTTTGTTTCCATTATTTGGTATGAGAACATCATGGGGTCACTGCTATTTAGTAATTACTTTAAATTTTTCATTGAGCATACTGCATGACAAATATTTTTTGTATTCAACCCTTTAGTCAACATTTGCATTTGGAAGCTTATTAAATTGAGTTGATGTAATTGTGATGAACATTTCCCTTGTTTTACTAAAATATTTTCAACTAGGGTAAAAGATCAAGTTATTCCTTTAATTATGATTCATTTCTGTTTCTATATTAATATAGCCTATAAAATTTTCCAAGATTTAAAAAATCCTTAGTACAAGCATACTAGAGACCTTTGGAATCTGTTGATATATTCACATCTATATATACGATACAAGAGTTTTTGAAAAGTTTAATTGGGGAAAAATATCACTGAATAGTATGAAAAATACAAGAACTATTGTTAGACAATAGGAAGAATAATGTTGTGAGAAAAACTTCAACACTTAGTGAGTTTTAATATGCTACATTAGAAAGAAAACACCCAACGAGGACATATAAAATGGGTTCCAAATATTATCTGGGTGTCCATTGAGAAGTTATTTGGATTCTCTCTGTTGCCAGGACTTCATATGGGAAACATGGAGGTTGTATTACATACCAAAGAACTAGATCTGAAATAGAAATTTATAATGACAGCTAAATATCATATGAATTTACTATGAGCTTAGCAAAGACTTTTGAAACTTTGTATTCCATGTGGATATAGGGATGGAAAATAATCATATTAAAAGCAAACAAATTATCAAGTGGAAATGTTATGTATTTGGAAATAAAGGCCAAGTTAGACAAGGACAAACATGTCAATCTTCTCTATCTTTATCATGTTTAACTAACAAATAGCCTTCCCCTCTAAAATGTAAATCAATTACAGTGAATGGGAAACACTAAACTCTTAGTATCAATACTTTACATCAGGAAATACTATCTTAACAATCCTCCTAGATTACTTTACTTCTGGCATAAATTCAAGTATCACACGTATCTTTTCTAATAGACAAATTGATAAAAAGTCTGTCTCTTTTAAGCCATGTCTCCCTAAGCTGGATGTTTAGAAATCTGCCTTTTCAGACTGATGTTCTTTCTTTTGATTTGAGAAACATTCAGATTTCTTGCCTTTCTCAATTTTCTAGAGATAAGCTAAGCTTATTTTACTCAGAGATTATTTCTATTTTAATTGATTCACAGTTCTATATCAGAGCATGACTTTGAAAGCAAGAACTTTTGGATACAGTTGTCACTCATACTATGAAAGAATCTTTCTACACAGATAAACTATATAAAATCAATATTGAACACCACCCATCACAACAGGGTAAAGGGTACCATATAAGGAACAAGCTCTCTTCTAAAGTTTCCTGAAATTGATAGTTTTTCAAGGTGTACTGGTACCAGCCACCAGGAATTTCATTGCTGATACTTTACTATATCACCAAAATCTGCACATTCTTCACTCCAGTCCACATCATTAGTATTGTTACTTGCTATCATTGTCCCTTGTCTCTTGTCAAATTCAATTGTTATCTACACAAATCGCCAGATGTAAATGTGAAATCGCCTCAAAAGTTTACCATCACTCACTATTTTTAATAAACATAGCATCCACAACTAACAGAAACCCATTTGTGGTAAAGAATCTCGTTATTTTGACTCTGTTTTAATATATAATATTAAAGAAATCTCAAAGCTGTTTTATAGACAACTACATCCAACAACAGAAAGGAACATGAGATATTATAATAAAAGTATGAATAAATGATTTCCAAATCTCACATTCCTACCCCCAGGTATATATTTGAAGGCAATTACTTTTGAAAACTTTGTAGAATTTTTATGGAACTTATTCTCAAAATTTTTATGTTTTGATTTTTTCTCTTCAAATCTCTATTCTTTTTATGCTTGCTTCCATTCAGCACACCAATCAGAATCAAAGTTTTAAATAGACATAGTGTTTTATACCCATACTTAAACTGAGAATGGATGGCATGCAAACTATCTGAATAAAGCAATAGCTGATAAACCATATTATTTTAATTTTATGTATTTAAATACATAAAATGGATGTATTATTTTGGGAATAAAAAGTCAACTTATATTTACTATACATGGAACATCCCAGAGTCACACCTTTAAAATAAAATTGTAACTTAGTCTGCTTTCCTAGTAAATAATTTTAAAAAATAAAAAAATTACACAGATCTTTAGCTTTAAAAGCATATCTATCACAGTAACTATTATATTGCATAAAGTGCATTTCTATTGATTACTTTTTAAAACTTTATAAATTCTTAAAAATATTTATACAATAAATGTTAAATAAAATACCTTAGGTAACATTCACATGGAGTAAAATTATTCTATTTCAATAGTAGATTAAACAGCTACTTGGAGTTTCAAAAAGAATACCAGCTTGAAAGCAATGTTCTCATGGATTTTTCTATTATTTAAAAGTTATATCAAATAGAGAGAATGTATTTTTCTTCTTGGCAAAGAATAACTGCACTACTAGTAAACAAATTTAATAATAAAATTTATGTTAACATTAATTTAAGCTTAAATATATGCAGTGCAACAATCATTTTATATAATAGTGACTTTTAAAAATTATGAAAAAATGTAAAATTTATATTAACATATGTCCTAAAAGGATATCATTGCTTTCACAAAATTAATAAATATTTTGAGCACCTACTATGTGCCAAACAGTGAACTGGATATTTTAAAAGACTAAACCATTTTAAAAGAATTAAATATCCTAGACTATTAATGCTCCTTTTAACAGAATGGAAAAAAAAAAAACACAGTAATTTTCCTGCTCTTCCAAATATTATAATTGAACTTAATAGCATAAATATTTATACAAGGAGTAAACATTTTTAGAGGCCAAGTGTTCATATTCATTCTTTATCCACTACACTCATGAATATCAACTTTGAATAGCATTATGGTCTGGCCTCATTCCACTAAAATGCTTATGAAGATAGATGTATGGTTTGAGGGCTTCAAATTTATTATACAGATATACACATACATGTCCTCCCATAATAACACATTAGAATGAATTAATAAATCATTCTTTTGGGGCTTTTTTCTCTACAAAGCTTCAAATAAAAAGTGAAGTGTGAAAATGTAACAAATATTTTCATGTGTTTCATGCTTTAAGAATTTAAGTAAAAATCTTAAAGACCATTTTCTTGTTTGATACCAAGACAAAATGCGAATACTATGTAAAAGCTTCCGTCTTACTGTGATATCAATTAGCACACCATCTTTACATGAAATGACGAGTAGAATTCAGACCAAAAAAAAAAGGCTTTCCTTGAAATGGAATCCTAAAGAGGTAGAAAGGCCTTACGTGAATCTAAATCTAGCCCTTTTTGTGGATGAGACAACTGAAGACCACGCAAGCTGTGTGACAGGTCCATTGTCATAGTTCACAACACTATCTGTACTCAGAATTAGATTTTCCAGTCTTACTCCAAAGTTCTTTTCCACCACAGGATACACTCTCTCTCCCTAAGTATCATGTAATTGAGGGACAAAATGAAATTTAAGATTTTTCTGTATAGCGGCCTCAATTCTCTAATTTTCTTTGTCTTAGTAAACACCAAAGCCTATATAAATAACAGTTATGAAAAAAAGTAGGTGAAACTGGATACATAATCATTCTATTTAATTCCTGTATAGTTATCAGTGAAACAATCCAGGATATAAGTTGTATCATGAGATATTTCTTTTATGAAGGAAAATATTTTTTCCTCATATCTGCTTCTCACAGAATAGTAGGCATGACATTCATTCATTCTCTTAGAGTCCAAAAACAAATGGACCATTTGGCAGATATATAAAGTATATTTTAAATAAGTAATTTTTAGCTTATCTTGAGACTTTTTTGAACCAGTTCTTGAAATTGACTACACTAGTATAGAGAGACAAATGTAAACTTCAAACAATTAATACTCATTCCTGTATTAAATACAAATTTTAAAAACAAAATTGCAAAAAAATGCCAATTTTCCAATTAAATGTATCATTTTTATAAAAAAAATCTTTTCAGCAAAAGTGTTTCTAAAAAGCACACATTTAATTCAACTTTACAAATAGACACTACTTTCAAATTATGCAAATATGTCACTATTGTAACATAATTTGTCAACTTTTAATAAAGCATATTATAATATAAATTGGACTTGAACCGAAAACATAGTATTAATAGATTACATCAATATGTCTTTTTTAGTTTGGAATTTAATTAAATGATATTCAACATTGGCTTTAAATTAATTAAAAAAATGAAATAACCTTTACTTAAAATCCTGTGAACTGCATGTTTTAGAACTCAGAGGTTTTTAACTTTTAGTTCTAGCCTGGTCTGATACATATGTATATATTTTCAAATACTGTGAGTCTCAAAGGGCTTTTCCACAAACAAAGCAAATGAAATGTTGTCTTTACCCTTGCATATATAGTACAATATTTTAATTGAGTTGAAGATCAGACTACCTTACTTAGCTCACATTATTAGCCAAGATGTAACAGAACTCAGAACTCAAAAGATACAGTTAGTAAAAAATTTTTAAGCTGGTCAACAATACAAACATGCAGATACACTGATTTTATTGTTAGGCTACACTCAAGAAACTCAACTAATTACTGGGTAATAAACACATTTCAAGAAATTTAAAATTGTGTAATATGTCTTTTTTAGCTTATGTTTTTTGATGAACTGCAGTGTTTCCACAACTAACATGTTTATTTTATACACTCATGTAAAATGTTTTCCAGACTTAAATGCAAGACTTATAAGTTATGATTTTAAAAATCTGAAAACATTTAAAAAACAAATTGTACTACAAAACTATTTGCTTAAAATCTATTTAGCACTTGTGTTTATAGTTGTATAGCTACCAATAACTAAATTCAATAGCTAAATGAAATAATTTAAGTCTTTAAATATTCTGATGTCATTATTATATTTGGCCTTCTTACTGAAAATATATACAAAAAAATTTACATTTAAATAGTAAGTCTCCTATGCCGAATACACTACTTTTCAACATGGTAAGAACATCATTCTGTCATTTCTATGATACAATGGTAGCTGCACCTGTACAGTATTGACAAGATGGTGAACAGTTGTGATGGTCTTATGCTGTCTTTCCTTTTGTGTCCTTAGTACTTCTCTTCTGTCCTACATAAAACACGAAAATGTTTCCCAATATATCCATCATCTCTACCTTCATTGTCTATTTTTATATTTGAAAATTTATCATTATAATATGGAATATAATAAGACAAAAATTGATAATAGGGTTTGTGAAATTTTCCTTCCATCAAAATGCTACTTATCATTGCTTGCCTTTTCTTGGACTTTCACTGGGATCCCTGTTCTGTCTCTAGATTGGCACTGCAGTGACACCAAGAACCACATCATTCTAGGGCTCACAATGGCCCCAGATAAAGTTCATGGGGTTGTCATGATGCTCTATGGATCTTTAACCATGAATACCACCACTGCCTGCAATTCTATTCAAGCAACAACATCAGAATAGGATTCACAAATACAAAGAATGAAATAAGCAAATTTTCTGAAAAATGCAGTTTCTGTGAAACTACTTACTTGAGACTCAGTAGCAAATGATCAATCAAGATGGTGTTTCTTATACTTATTAATGAATATTACAGTAGAAAATTGACCATTTATAGACATTATATAAATTTCAGTTGGCAACCTAAAATCTTCCATCTATACATCATAAATTATGCCCATAAATTTTGAGTATTTAGGCAGGCTTTATTAAAGCAAAACGAGTAGACAAAAGTAATTTTCACAGTTTGTCTCCCTCCTCCTTTACTATGCCCTCAGTATTGTCAAATGGACAATCTAAGCTGAATCCATGTTCTCTTTTTTCCAGGAAGACTTTCTATCACCTTTGTAAAGCAAAACAAATATTAGGAAAGGCTGCTAACCCTTCTAGTATTTGTACATCAATGGAAAAGCCATCCAAAAATTCTGATTACTTAATACTACTTGGATCTAGCATGAAAAGCACAAACGAGTTTTATGTTTCTTTAATCTTGGTTATGAACAGTGACAAGGCAAAAGCAATAATTGACTAGTGGTGATGTAGTTTAACATTTTTTTTTATGGGAAAAGAAGCTGCCTTGTAACAAGAAAAATTAACTTCAGTAATTTCAATTTAATAAAGTTTTAATTTTTCCCACATTCTTATCTTAAAAGGTCTGATGATGGAACATTTTCCCCCCAAAACTTAAATAAGAACCAGTTCAGTCAGACTGACACCTAATGGAAACTTTCATAGGAAAATAATTCTGCAAAGGAAAGAAAGCAATGAGGTAAGTATTTAAACAAAAACAATCAAAATACTTTCTGTTAACTATGAGTAGAGGTTTCCTTTAGATTTCATCACTAGCATTTATTTGCAGTTATTCTATTCTAAACATTATTATTCTGCTTCCATGAAGCAACTGCAATAAATTTGCACAAAACTGAATAGAATAGCTTATATTTCAAAAGTTCTTCCTCATCCCCTCAAAAAATGCCAGATTACTACATCTTCTGCTTCTCACAGGCTGTCACCAGGCCTTCAACTCTCTTTCCTCCTTTCAAATCCTAAACACTTACTATTTAGCCAACCAGCATGAGGCCAACTTTCCAGAGACCATCTAGGAACTAGAGTATGTAGCTTCTCTCTACTTTTCTAATTTCCCAATGAAACAATGCCACCAGTAGACATAGTGCATTTTGTCAAACACAAAACAAGCACAATATTTAAAAGCCCCAAATCACCAACTGGTGGATCCCTAGAGAAAGAAGGTAATTCATGGAACAATGAAGGAAAGAACAGGAGTTACGTATTCTCTTGCTGATGATAGAATGTCGAATGCGAAGACAGCATCTGTGTTTTCTTTCCTACTTCAACTCATTCTTAAAATGGACTCGCCCCCGGGAGCTTCTGAGAAGGGCTCCACCCGTTTTCCCTGCAGACAACAACGTTCACTGAGCGCAAAAGCTCTGAGTAGAGATATCCTGGGAGAAATTGTGGGATCAGACACAATGGAGGGGGATTAGGGGTAGGGAGAGGGTGTATGTGGAGTACCCTTCACTGGGAATCCTAAATATTAGAAGAAAGGCGAAACCCTAGATGGGGAAGCATGAGAGTGTTCTGCCTCCTTGAAGTCACCTCGTTGTCAGTCTCTCCAGGGTTCAGACTGTTCCTGTGGGCAAGAGCCCAGAGGGGCACATTCACTTCGTGACTGGGAAAGGCCTGTCCTCCAGGGGGAGAAGGTGTCAGAGTTGCAACTCAGCTTAGAGCGGTCCCACAGCGACGAGAGGGAGAGCTTCTCAGGACTCTAAGTTTATTTGATTTTTCTCCTGTAGTTTTCACTTAACAAGAATTCAGTCTTCTTGCGCAGCCCGTGCATAACCAACGATCACCACGCAGGGAGGAAACCTGCTTAGTGTATGGCCGCACTAGTAGAATCTTCTGGGTGCCCGGTACGTTCTAGTCCCCAGTACTCAGTCCTCCCATCTTTGAAGCGCCTCTATGGGACGGTCCCAAATGGCTCACAAGAGGGAAAGGCCAGGTGCAAAGGTGGCAAAGCTGTGTGGTCCGACGCCGGGAGAGCTGAGACCTGGAGCCCTGGCCCGCGCCTTCCACTCTGGGTCATCCTTCCAGCCCCATCTTGGACATGCCAACTTCTGCCAAGTGCGATTGTCCCCAGGAGTCCCCAGGATTGTCCCCAGGAGTGCATGTTTGAGGGGATTGGTGGCCATGGCTTTTTCTTCTCTAGGAGGTGAAAAATCCGTGCTGTTTCATCGTCCATTAATATTTGAAACAAACAAACAGAAAAACTGGAAGTAGAAGGAGGGGGAGGCTCTCTCTTGCTCCCGTCCCTTCGCAGCTGACCTGAGAGGGGGACGTGTCTTGAGTTGTTGGTGTTTGAGACTCGTCCTAAAGGCAGAGGCAGGGAAGACAGCGCTGAAGAGGTGCCCCAAAGAGACTGGACGTCTGAACAGTCACTGCCTGCCCCAACCTCTTTCAAGAAGGTTCCAGGTCTGTGCCACACTGCAGCCAATCCGGTTCCCATCCTGTTTCTCCTCCCCTTCTCGGAGAATCGGAAAAGAAAATATGCGTTCCTGAGAGACCCGCCACACTTCCTATCTGGAAGTTCCGCGGGGACCCAGCCCCCGGGCCCCCGCCCCTTCCCCAGCTTGGCCGCCAAATCCGACTGCGAAGCGGCGCGGCCGGCCGGGGGTGGGGCTCTGGCACCGCCCTGGGCCCGGGATTCGCGAAGTCACGCGCTTCCGCAGGCTTGCGGGGGCACCTTCGCCCACGGACACGCCCTTTCTGCGGAGGCCGCCCCCGGCGACCCTCTCCCCAGCTTCGGCGCCTCAGTCGTGACGCTCCCAAACTGCTCAAGGCCTTTCAGTCATTCCCAACTTCAGAGAATCGCCCCGTCCGCCTCTCTCCCCCCAGCCGCACCCCACCGTGGAGAGGAGAGGAGCGGGCGGGGAACGCGGAATGGCCCCGCAGGACCCACTTCCTCTCCCCGCCCATCTCCTGCCCCTTGCCCCCCCCCCCCGCCCCCTGCGCGAACCCATTTTACAGTCCTGGTCACCGGAGGCGCGGCGCACAGCCTTTCTGGTGGAACCAGTGCGAAAACACCCGAGGAAAGGAAAAGAACAAGAAAGTGCTACCTTGGCAACCACGGGCGTTTAGTGGCCAGCTGGTGGGCTGGGGAGGGCGGCCGCTGCCCCCCTGCCGCTGGTACTCTCCTCGACTACGCGTATTCTTAAGCAATAACAACGTAATCCGTATTATCCACCCAAGAATACCCGTCACCGAAGAGAGTCAGAGGACCAGGCTGCCGCTGCCGCTGCTACCGCTGCCGCTGCTACTGCCGCCGACGCCACCACCAGAACTCTTGCTGCTCGCTGAGCCCGCCCCTGGCTGGGGATGGGCTGAGCTTGACCGGGACCATAAATCCATAACTCGATTTCCCTAAAGAAGGATCCAAAGCTGTGCTCGGCTGCTTCCTGCCCAAATCCAAATGGCCGCTCTATTTCCAGTTCTGAAAGACAAATCACAAAACCGAATACTTAACACAGAAGAAGAGTGCTGTCTTTCCAGTGAGGAGGGAAGATGTGGCAAGGCTCTTTGGGCACAAGTGGGAGTGACAAGTAGCCTTCAGTTTACCTGGTGCTCTCCCAGTGCCTTCCTCTGCACTTCTCTGCTTGGTACCCAGTCTGGTCTCGGCCAGTCCATTCTAGGTGGTTTGATTGAGTGCCATGGCAGCCAGAGAACCCTGTAAGAGACATGCATAGTTAACCACACAAACATTACAGATATATTTGCCTAGACGGCTTTAGGAAGAAGTGAGGCTTAAATAAAGACAGAGTCATGCATGGGTAAAATTTTCAGTAGTATGTTTTGGAAATGCATTTTCTCAAGCCCAAGATCACAGCAAATAAACACTCATTCAGTTTACTACGTGAAATCAAATACTTATAGATCTACAAAAAATAGGCATATTTTCTTTGAAGGCCTTAGAGCTATACAACATAATGATTTTTAAAGAAAATAAAAGCTTCAAGGCACAAAATAATTAAACCCACTTTCCATAGTATCAAAACTCACTGAGTTGACAAGCTGGTAGAGTTTCTATGATTTAAGCATCTTTTTATATCACCACAATATTTAATGTCATGGCACACCTTTAAAATATATACTATAAATGCATTGCTGTACAGCTGTTGTGAACACCTCTACAGAAAAACCTTTGAAGCTCTGTGTTCATGAAAATTATTTTAAGAAGAAAAAGCCAATAAAAACTCATTTGCAAAGTGACTGTAATTTTGGCGTTCAGAGAGACTATCTTTGTGATTCTTTGATGATCAATATGGCTCTTACTGGAAAAGCTTTGTCTTAAGATCCTGCAGTGGATATTCTGATAATAGGGGTTTATTGTTCACTAAATAAAATGGACAAGTGCAACGTCACTACCCAAGAGATGGTCTAGCTTCATTAGAAAGTTCTCAATTTGCTTTCCCCTTTACTCTAATACATGAAAGTACATCCATGTGAGGGGAATGGGGGGGGATACGGAAACATGGCAATAGACACTATGATTTCTCAAATTATGTAAGTGCAAATAGCTCTTCATCAAGGAGTAATTATATAACAGAATCTCTCCCACTACCACAACTCATCTCTAACTGACCTGGTTGCAATTTAAGACACTTAGGTTGTGCTTGTTCCTGTCTTTTTGTAAGTATAATACACACCAACTCATCATTTTCTTGACATGGTACTTAGAGATAGAAAAATCAACATGAATTCTAGGTTTTATGAACAGATGTTTAATATATAATGTTTGAACCTAAAATAACTGGAAAGAAAACCAGTATAGCCCAACTACCACACTCTTTTACATTATTTTCAGATAACTCTTAAGTACACCACTTACAAAAAGACAGATGCCATAAAACAAATAAATAAACACTATTTTCTGCTGTTACCTAACATAGCTATAAAGTGGAGCTTTCCTCTGGTGCTAGATCAAAAAAAAATTCAAGAAAGCTGACAGGTTCTCTTCAGCTTGAACTCCTAGAAACAAAAGCCCTTAGGGAAAGTAATGCAATAGTCTATGAGCAAAGTGTACATTTGCTTCTGCACTCTTCTATTTAAATATCAACTAATATCAAAAGGAAAACAAGAAACACATTTACGGATAGGATTGGATTTACTAATTGGAACGTTTTAAATTCAAAAGGATGATCAAGGCGCGCACACACACACACACACACACACACACACCAATACACAGGGCATCAGAATCACAGCATAAATACCCACACAGCTTTTCAATGCTTTCCAAGTAGTCTTCTTTAGTTTTGCTTCCTCGCAATTAAAATAAAATACACACACACACTGACCCACAGACTCACACGCTTTAAGAAACTAGAACAACGCAGTTGATATGCTATCTTTCTACCCAAGTAGCAGTGCCAGCCCTTTCCCTACCTACCTAATGTTCCATCAGCTTCAGCACCTGGACGAGTGGACAGCTCAACCCGGGCAGACTGCCGGCAGCACTCGCAGCAGAACTGACGCTCTGAGCTCTAACCAAAGCTCTCTCTTGCTTCAGCGGGGCAGCCTGACTTACGAGAACACCATTTCCTACGAGACCACTGCCGCTGGGTGCATATTCAATTCAAGCCTCCTTAAGCTGTCGGATTTCCCCCACCCATCCACCCTCCCCCGCTTCTCCACCCTCTACACAACAACAGAAAAGGGAAAAAGCCCAATACCATCAGGGCGTTTGTTGATCAACTTACACTTCGCTTTTGAATATTTATCTATTGCTAGCGGAACAATATCAGCGGAGGCTTAGGACCGCATTAAGTACCTTTGTTCATCGACTCCTGCAAGCCATGTTTATTAGGATCTACATTTCTCTCGTGCCCCAATAACTAGAGGTGTGTTTTGCGGGAAGGGGGCTTTCAGCACCTTTTGATCTCTCAAGGCCACCGCGACTGACTGCAGGTTCCCACTACTTTCCTATGCTATCCCCCACACTCCAACACCCATCCCAGTTAATTGCTTCGCAATTTGCAACCAAATATACAAAAAGAAACGCGACAAAGCAATCGGTTTGAGGAAATAAGCCAATTAAGCTAAAGCTGAAATGTCTCTCTCTCTCTTCTCTCTCTCTCTCTCTCCTCTCTCTCTCTCTCCCCCCTCCCTCTCCCTCTCTCTCTTCCCCCTTGACTCCCTCCCTCTCCCTCTCTCCTTCCCTCTCAAGTAGAAAGGGGGAAACACCAAGGAGAGAGAGAAAATCGGCAGGAGGGTGGTAGTCGACTCTTACAATCAATGGAAAAAGAGTATACACATCTTTACTGAATAACACTCTCGTTCTCAGACAAAAAGAAACACATTTTTCGATGTAAACATAGTCTCCCTCTCCCACACATCCTACATTCTTTACGTTTGCTGAGATTTGTCTTGCTGTATGGCAAAGTAACTGTCACAAATCCATCTCGATTGAAGTGCTTACCCTCTAAATCCAGGTTTCAAGCGGAACTCCAACTGTGTGTAGAAGCCAGGGAGTCATCTGATGTGCGGTGAGGTAGGCTCTGGGCAGTGGGAGCTTCTGCTTCTCTCCGAGTGCTGGGTTACAGTGTTAACAAGCCCTGGGAAGGGACCTCGGCGCCTCGCGCTGGCTGTGCCCCAGTGCCTTCGCGTGGCGGCTTGCTCACGCTTCCGAGGAGTCCCAGGCGATAGCCTTCAGCTGATGCGAGCTTCCAGAAAGGAGTGGGGAAGGGAAAAATCATCTAATGCAATCAAATCGATCTGATCTACACCATCTGTCGCCTGCCACTATACACAAACGTTAAAATAGAAAAACGGAAAATACTGACAGCCGAGAGGGTTGGTCTGCAAAGAGTTCATTTTTAGCAGAGCATAATTGGATATGGTCGGCGTACAGTTACAAAAGCTGCTGTTAACCATCCAGTAGTGGATCCCAAACATGCTAATGGTGGATTAATTGAGGAAGATCTGACGTGCAAGCTTCATAGTCTCTTATTCATGACTTCCCAATGGGAAAGGACCAATGCCTTGTGGGACTATGGTAACATACAGTCAAAAAGCTGCTAAGAAAATGGCTGTGTGTTCACAGCACCTCTCTCTGATAACAAACATATGTCGACTAAAATGGTTTAGTAGAATGGGAGGGGGTATTGGAGAATAAAATTTTCTTTCCTTGTGTAAGCAATCCCCATTTTCTTTTCTTAAAGAAATGCAAAAATAGATATATCTTTACCCTAGTGTGGGGGAAAAGATGTTTTAAAAGGTTTTTATCAAGATCAAACTCTGCCATATAAAAGAAACGGAACACTCCTGTGCAGCAATTCTTTTAAAAAAAATCTATTATCACTTTTTTTCCTTACTGTGATCAAAGTAGATCCATAGCATGTGCAGTATGTGGAAACTCAGTCCAGTTAATCCCACCGGGATTGACTCAAGGTTGTTTAATGCCAGGTGCCCTTTTGACTTCTTGAAATCAGGATGCCTTTTGGGGAAGGCATTTTGTATCATTTAAAATTGACATAATGAACATTAAACATAATTGCAGTGAGGAGATGAGAAGAGTTTTCCTTTTTAATTCTGCAACTGCTCTCTCTAGCCAAAACCCCTTTTGGTCTGTTTCCAGTCTTTCCAGATCCGTTGATGGGGAAATATAAGAATGAGGGAGGAAGTCGAAATACCAAAGGGGAGGGAAAGACAGTGTGGGTTATCAATAGCCAATAAATTCTATTCCACTTGTAATAGAAAAAATATATATAGCAATAAAAGAGATAACTCACTAATTGTTGATCATGATTCTAAATTTTAAACCCATTTAAAAAATTATTGTTTGATACCTGGAAAGAAGACACATTGCAAACAATGGAATGACTGTCCCCCAACCATTTATAGTTATAAGTTTAAAAAATACTGAAACAGTTTATTATCTAGATATGTGACAATTTTTATTAACTATAAGTAAAAATTCCATATTTCCACTGATTTCGTCATCCATTTGAACACTGAAAACTATGGTCATTTTGATTTTGCTCTCTTTCCTTTGGTAACATACATTACAGAAATTCCATAGTAAACAATTAGTGTTTAGGAAAATTCTAAAGATAAATGTATCTCCTAAAACTTTGATAATCTGTTTAAGAAAAAAAAACACCTAACAGTTATGAATTAAATTAGACTAAAAATATAGCTTGAAGACAAATCAAACAATTTACCTGATCTTTTGTTTCAATATACATTAATTAAGCACTCTCTCCAACCTACACAACATTCCAGGGTCATAGTCAGAAATTCAAGTCTAATAGTTCAGCAGCCTTTGTTGTCATTCGTGTCAAGCTATTGCCCCCTGCAGGTTAGGCTGAAAGTGCAGGCAGAATTTGGCCAAGTCCTCAGGAAATTGATGGTAGCCAAGTTACTCAGTCTCTCCCAAAATTTTAACTAGAGGCAACTTTTAAAGTTTACCTTCATCACAGTTTAAACTATTTATTTATAGGTAGCTAATATATTCAGAAAAAATGGTCTTTGAAGACAGGTGATTTCATGTTTTCTTCTGAGACTTTAGCTGCATGGAGTAAATCATCCACTTTGTTGTGATACAAAGAGCATTTTGGTGCACTTAATATAGTTATCTTCATCTTCCCTTATCCTTATTCCACAAGATCCAGAAAAAATAAGTAACAGAATTGGAATTATGAATTCTCAATAATAAATATGTAGCTCTGGGCAATTTGATGTCAGTGTGCTCTTAGTAGACTCAATGAAATGCATGCATATCAAACTGTTTCAGATTCTCCCTGCTCCTGATATGATGAGGTCAATTACAACATTTCTCTTGATTATAAAAAGAAACAATATTTCAACCTTCATATTCCTGCTATAACCATCATCCTTTCCCACACTCAACTTTTCTAAATAAGGTATCTTGCCAAGATGAAATATATTTATAATTGATTGAAGAGAAATTAAATTACATCAACTCTTTCACAGCATTAGAAAGTGGAGCAAGTTTATAGGAATGATTTCAGAAAGTTTATGGAAAGATTCTTTTATTCTTTGGAAGTCAACAATGTGGCTATTCACACTGAGTTGTAAAGAATCCGGCAATGGATTTTTCCCTTTTATATAAATATGCATTTCATTGAGCAGTAGGGTATCATTATGTGAAATATAATCAATTCTAACACCAAATTAGCAATCAATAAAAATCTTAGTCAAATTATAGAAGTATCATTTCAACATTGTATGAAAGTAGCTAGAAACATGAACTGCATTTCGCTATCTTAAAGACATTATGAAGTGACTTAATGGATAGTGGCAAGACTTGAGTCTTTCTTGAAGGATTTTTTTACCCTAACTACTGATATGTTTTCTAGGTCCTCCAGAATGGACATGTGGGATAGGAACTGGGGATAACTATGTCATATTTTCAACAATATTAAAAACACAAAATCAAAATAACCTGAATACTTATCCATGTTTTATTACATTTTCAAAGCTTGTTAAATTTGAAGAGGACACTACATCTATACATTAAGAGGTTTGCATCTACAGTTCATTAACCCTCCTGGTCCAAGCAAAGAGGGGATTTGGACTAGGCTGTGAGACTATTAATTGCACAAGTATGTTGTAGCCAGAAGAGTGACTGGTTGCCTGCAGCAACCATTTCTAGTTGTCTTTGAGTATGCGTTTTTAAAGAAAAGTCATCTCCCCTTCAAAGTCATATCTCACATATATACCATTTTACATGATTGTGTGTACTGAAGCACATTGCTATTGAGTCAGAAATTTTCAAGTATCTTGATTCAAATGGCTGCCAAATACCTATGAACAGAGTTGCTTTTAATTAGCATCCAGAAGGAGAGATGATATTTGACCTGTGAGTCTTAATCAAGGGGAATATTTTTAAGTTCTCCCATAGACGACGTAGCAGATTGCTTGCAAGTGCCTTGAAAAACATAATCCTTCTTTTCCTCCTACTATCATTACTATTGTTCTAATAGTTTCTAAGCATCAGAACATAGTTCTAGAAACCCTGTAATGCTGTTATTGCCGGAATCCTGGGTTATTAAACATTCTTATCCGCAGAAGCGAAAGACCATCCAATCCTATTCATATGCATCCTATGACTCAACTCAGTTTCCACTGTGTGTGTGTGTGTGTGTGTGTGTGTGTGTGTGTGAGTGAGAGAGAGAGAGAGAGAGAGAGAGAGAGAGTTAGTTCATCCTGAAAGCGCTTATGTTTCCAGAGGTTTTCAAATGCAAATGGAGTGGGAGTGGTGGTGGCCGTTCTGGAGTGTACTGTGTGGGTGTGGGGGGATTTGGGGAGAGGGTGTCGTGGGCATTAAGTCTAAACAAATTCAAGGCCATTACCACCACTGCAGACCAAAATAACTTCGGTCTGAGAGACCCCTTAGAAAGATACAATGCCTTCCTCATATAAAGAGAGGCAAGCTAAAACCAGAGCGTTCTCAGCGCTCGCGCAGTTTTGAGACAGGGTCCCAAAGACCGCCAAAACGCAGGTGTTGCGGGAGGGCCGGGTCTAAACTCTCGTCGGGCGAAGTGAAGAGCGCAAATCCCCAGGCCCAGCTCGCCTTCGCGGGACAGGCCAGCCACCCTGGCTCCGGGCCGGGCTAGCTCTCCTCTGAAGCCCCGGAGCGGGCAAGGGGCACCGTTCTGGCCACAGGAACTCTAGTTTCAGCAGCCGCAGGCCGCCAGCGCTGGCTCAGACCCGGGCCTCCTCTGGGAGAGTAGGGTAGCGAAAAATCAACCACCACCTTGGATTTCAGACCGAGGAAAGGAAGCAAAAGCAAAGGTGTGGTTACACAGGACTTCCACAGACAAACCGTTGCCTCTCCTAAGGGGACCCGCGCTTGGCGGCCGCAGAAGCGCGAGGCGCTGTGGGTGTGGGCGCGGGGGCGTGGGAGTCGACACTCTCCCCTCAGCCGGGCCGCGCTCTCTGCGATCCTCCCGAGTCCTGGCCAGCGGCCTCGGCTCGCCCCCTAACGCCCTCGCCAGGACCGCTGCGGTCGGGCCCAGGGCGCCCTGGGCTGGAGGCCGGAGCGGGACGGCCCCGCGGGACTCCGGAGCCTTGGTAAGGCAGAGGCTCCGACCCGGTTCACGAAAACGCCCGGCTCCTCCAGGATTTTTCGTGTCTTAAGCAGCTCTGAGAAGGCTCCGCTGGCGCTTGGGGAACCCCGCTGTGCGGCTCCTCCCGTTTGTCTCTCTCAAGCTCTCGCCTTCCTCCCCTGGTCCTCCCTCCACATCCCCTGCCCTGCCGGAGTCCCGGGCCGCGCTGGCTGAGCCCAACGTACCCGAAGAAGAGCGCCGGAGCCCCCTGCTGGCCGGACGCGGCAGGCGCCGCGGCCCGCTCGGTCCCCTCCGGCCCGCGGGCGCTGCCCAGCCCGGACCCGCCTCCACCCTCCAGCGCCCCAGCGCAGGGGGCGTGCTAAAAGCAACAGAAAACAAAACAAAAACAAACAAAGCGCCAAACCCCACTCTCACCTCGTCTACTGGTCAAAGGTAAGTGTGAGTTCAGCCTCTCCCTCGTCCGTCTCTGACCCTTCACTGATTCTCTGGGCTGAGGTCTGAAGGAGCCATTGGGGGCCCCTCTGAAAAGGAAATTATGGCTGCTTTTGAAAACATGTTTTCTAAGCATCAAAATCAATCTCTCTCTCTCTCTCTCTCTCTCTCTCTCTCTCTCTCTCTCTCTCTCTCTCTCTCACACACACACACACACACACTCTTCAACCAAACCCACACTTGCCAGTCTGGAAGGGTGCTACTGTTGTACGTGTCTCTGGAAGCGTTTTATTAGCTATTGGAGGAAATGTTCACTAATAGTTCAGGTTGTAAGTAAGCAGCAATAATTATTCTGTGAATTGGGGAGAGGGAGGTGAAAACAGATAGATTCCTCTTAATTTAACCCTTCCTCCCATACCTGAGTGTGAATCCTACTTTCAATACCAAGTCCTAGCATAAGCCGAAAAGTTTTCATTCTTATACTGAGAAGGAGAGAGAGAGAGAGTCATCCATTTCTGGGAGGTTTCCTGTGCTCCCACCCCTCACTATGGAACTGGGGAAGTGATTGTTTTGCTTATCTAGAGAATTCATGACTTAGTTTTGTATGGCGTTTGGAAATTAGTTTAACCTTGAAATAGGCTATATGCTTTGAGTGGTACGGTGAAATAGGCTGGATGCTTTTCTTAGGAAAAGATTGTTAGAAATCACAATGTTTCTTCCTATTCAGGCAACCTTGAGTTAGAGATGGTCATAGTATCCTATGATTATTGTGACTTTTAGTGAAGGCTGTTGCCTCTGGATGTTTACTGTCTTTGGGAGAAAGATAGTTTTTGTTTGTTTGTTTTTTAAAATCGTAAGCTTAGGCAAACGATAAGTATAGATAGGTCCAGTAAGGGATCAGTAACTATTAATATTTGTTTCTACTTTCTTCACACAATCTTCTGGGGAAAGAAGCCAAAGGACTTTTTTTTTTTTTTCTGTCCCTGGAATTAGTTTGTTCTATCTAGGCAAGATCCATGAGAGAATCTTTTAAAATGGCGTCTGTTCTTATTTGGTATTTTCAGGTGGATGACAGAATCTTTGACCTGCTAATAAGGAAGGGGCTGGGGCTGAAATGAAGAGGGATCTGGTATCTTTCCTCTATATTCATCAATCCAGGAGATCTGAACAGGTCATAAAGAGTTGCAGCTCCTCCTGAGGATAAAATCACAATTAAAACAATAAAAACTATCATGTGCTGAGTGCTTACTCGTGGCCAGGTGCTCTACCTTTACCATCATTTTCTCATTTAATTTCCACTGCAGTCCTATGGATTAGGTACTATGATAGTTTCTCATTTTACAGAGAAGAAAAGTAAGGATTGGGAAGATTTATTTACTTGACCAAGGTTGTAACAGTTGGTAAGCAGAAGAGCAAGGATCTGAAAGCCAGCAGTAAAAGAGATATTTTGAAAACTCAGGTGTATTGTATTGAATTCAGACTGATATTAACTAAGCTAATATTTCAGGTCTCAGTCTTGTTTTTCATAAAGAAAAGAAAGTATTTTCTTTTCCTGGAATAAAAGCATGTAAGCAAAGGGAGATATTTGCTCTTTAAAATGTTTGTTATGAACTCCAGATCCCCATTTCACAGATGAGAAAACTGAGGGAATCAATTGATTTAGTTACCATAGCAAGGTGCATAGCCAGGCCTTAAAACTACAGTTGCAGATCCAGCTTCTATATCCATTCCAGTTAACCATACTGCTGAAACACAAAAAGATCCTTGGTTTTTCTGAAAATGCTAAACAGTAGATCATTAACAGCCCAAATCCCGTATTTCTCAGCGAGGAAGCTTTCTTTCACCTTAATTGTGAATACCTTTTTATACTGAAAGGATGCAAATGTGGAAATAGGGCTATTCTCAGTGGTGAATTAAATGACAAAAATGGCAAAAGACTAAAATAACTACATCAGCTTTGCTTGAAAAGCAGTTAAAGCAGTTAAAAAGATATCTGAAAGGCTCGTCTCAGTACGAATTTAGTCTTCTCCACCCCCCAAGACCCATCCTACCCTACTCCAGGAAAGCCATTCCACATTACATTTATTTCTGCTAGCTTTTGTTCACAAAGGAGTCTAACACTAACAAGATTTTGGTGCTTTTCATCTCCATTCATATATTTCTTCTTTGGAACTGTGAATGGTTACAGTAAAAATGTCAAAACAAACCTCTGGAGTGAACACTTTAACTGAAAAAATACATACAATATTAATTGGCCAAAGATTTTTGACTGACATCCACATTTTAAGACACACTTATCATATACTGAAGTATATTGTGAAAACTGATTTACGCTTTATGTTAAAAGGTAGTTCAGGTCCAGAATGTGTTTCGTAAAATGGTCTTAGAGTTCCTCCATTTTCAGTAAGGCTCAAAGTGCCAGAGAAAACCATATGAACTGCCTTAAGTCACTGATTGGGCTGCAGCCCATGTCTCAGCTTTCTCAGTCATTTGTGTGCAAATTATTTGGCCACATGGCCTCCTATCATGTTGGGGATCTGTGATTTCTCCAAAGGTTTAATTTAGTTGAATATGATTGTTATTGTCAAGTTGGGATTTTTTTCTCTCTCACCTCTCATTAAAGCCCTTAGTATCAATATCAGTTTAGAACTATTATGTTATATAATGAAGCTTGCTTGTCTGTGTGAATTTATGGTATATTAATGTGTTCACAGATATTTAGACCTGAAGGTCTTTTTTAAATGATCTAGTCTAACCTTTTTATTTTACTGATGAGTAAATTGGTGTTGTCGGAGGTAAGTGAGAGGCAGAATGGGAGCTGGAACCCAGATTTTCTGTATTCAAGCTCTAAGGCCCGTGCATTCTCACAGCATCATGTCCCCACTTCTTTCATTGTTAGAGATTCAGCCATTCATTCAACAACTAGTTATTGTCATGAACTTGGCAAGTGTTCTAGGCATTAGGAATTCAAAAGAGAGAAAAATAAAACAATCCTGAAAAAAGGCCTTCATTTGTTGAAACATATTCTGGTGGTGGAGTAGGACAGAATCAAATGGCAGTCTTAACAATGGCTATAAAGACATTGTATAAAGACATTTTTCTTAAAAATTTCCACTAATAAATTATAAATTTCAAGGCAGACAAAAATATGTTGATATTCTTCTGCTTTTTCTGTTAAAGAAAGTCGAGGAACTTATAATGAAACCAAATAATGAAACACTAAATAATGAAATGGCCAGATAATGAAATCACCAACTGGAAATTAGTAGTAAATGGTCATAGCAAATCCTAACCAGGTAAGTAGAGCCATCTCATATGATCCATCCACGGACCAAGGAGGACTGTTTCCCAGAGTCATCACAGAGTCTTTCTGTGAACTGGGGACTAAATGCCTGTGAGAAAACATAGACTTGTGCAGGAGCTGGGATAAAGAAATAATAAAGACATCAAAGAGGAAATTATTCAACAAGATTTTTTTTTTAAATGACACATTTTAAAATATGTATTAGACTGTCCTAGCATGAACCAAAGGGCAAGAGAGCACTATCCTGAGGTTAAGGCAGAAGCTTCAGGGATTATTATAATTCATTTGTGTGATTAACTCAACTTTCCCCTTTTAGAATATGATGGACGGGAGTCTCCCCCCATCAATGAAATAACTGGGGAGGGAAAGGTATAAATAATTCAATCCTGTAAAATCTTGGGTTTTGTGATTGTGAGATTCCTTACAAAGAGTGTTTTTCAGAAAATGGAACTGGTCATTACAAAGATATCATCTTACTGGACATTGAAATGAAAAATTATCAAATGACTAGGGCACAGTAACTTCCTAAAATCCTTCCTCTGCCACTTCCCTCACAAGAATTTTTGCCTGTCAAGGTTTGGACCAATCGCCAATTGTCTTATACCCATATTTGCCACTTGAGAAGAACACTTTTTTTCCTCTGGTGTTTTACTGTATTTGACTTGGCAAGGAAATGAAGCTTTCTCTGGGCAAATACACAGTATGAAACTTTTAGTTAATTTGGGACGGGGAGGGGAGGGTTTTGTCTGATATTACAAGGGGAAAAAGTGCATTTACTCAGCTGAAGTTTCTTTTGTACTGTTTTCTGCCAGTTTAATTTTTATTTTCTTTTGAGTTCTGATGATATAGCAAGGTAACAGATATAATATAGTTTATAGTATAATATGTTAATAATAATTTGGCTATTTCCTCTTTTAGTTTTTTATGTATTAGTCATGTAACACATAACCTGTAAGCAGGACTGGCTGAAAGAAACTATTAGATAATTGTTCCATAGAGGGGACCACTCAAGTCCAATTCACTGTATGTGAACTGTTGAAGAAATTTTGCAAAATTTCTCTTTCATGTTGTGAGATGTCATGTGGTGGTATCAACCAGGGAAATGATTAAGTTGGATTCTCCAGAGAGTCACTGGTCTATTTCCTGCCTCCAAGCATATCTGAAACCAAGCTACAAATACACGAAGTGTTGAATTGCAGAAATGTGGTCCAGTTGTTATCTCTACTACCTGTATTACGGAGATTAGAAGTTGTAAGTAAAGAAGTCTGTGTCTTTTTCAACTTTTTGTGCTCTGAGGCCAGCTGAAGAAGCAATAGCATGCTCTCCCACCATGGTCACTGAAAAAAGTAATCTTAAATAAAGGAAAATGTGAGATCTGAGATCTTTTCAGTCGGCCTTAAGATTGGACAGAGTTTATGGAATAATTATGTTGAAGCTCCTACATGATGTAATTGAGGTTATCTTTCTGGATTGATGAAAGGGTCTTTGTGACCCACACTCCTTTTGGAGCTAACCCACTGAAAAAAGAAAGGCAGACAGACAGAAAGAGAAAATCAAATCCTATTTGAGATGGAGGTTCAGTGACAAGAGAAGCTTTTAGCCTTCAGATGTATTTGCTCTGTACCAGGTACATAATAATACAGCTTTTGCATCTTTAAATCCATACTTAGCTAGGCATTAAATTCTAGGAATAATC